CGAACTGCCCCTGCCCGAGCTGCCCCTGCCCGAGCTGCCCCTGCCCGGGCTGCCCCTGCCTGGTGGCTCCTGGGACATCCCAGCCCGGGGACAGGGACAGGGCAAACCCCGCCTGGGGCTGCAGCCGCCCAGGGCGGCATCACCTGCCCCAGAGCATCGGGTGCCACACAGTGCTCTGTGTCCCGAGCTGGTGGCACAGGGACACTCCAGCTGGGTGTGTGGGTCTGCACAAGCCCACAGGGACTTACCCTGACTGTCTCACCAGCATCCATCAGCTGAGGAACAAAGTGTCAGAAGAGCATGAGTCCATCAAGAAGAAGGAGCTGGAGACTGGACCCAAGGCCTCCTATGGCTATGGGGGCAAGTTTGGAACAGAGCGGGACCGCATGGATAAGGTAACAGTTGTAGGAGGCTTTCTTGGGCCCCAGTGGAAAAGTTTTTCTCATAAAGGAAAGAGCATCCATTTTTTCTGGCCTGACTGAAGAGAGGGAACAGGGAACTGGGATGGCTGCACAGATCCACACATCTCTAGCTACCCCATAATCTGTCTCTGAACCCATTTGTCCATTTGTCTGCAGCTTCCTCACAACACTCCCCTTAGCTGCAAAGAATGGCTTGTTGCAAAGCTGCTGTGTAACAAATTAGGTGCCTCTCTCTCCGTGTGCTTAGAGAACTAATGAAGAATAATCCCCTCCTCATGTTCTCCAGTACAGATTCTTTTTTCTCACATCAAATCTGTGTTATGTTTTCTGATAATCATCATCATGTTTCTTCCTGTACATTTCAGCATTTAATACTTTTTTTCAGATGTGAGATCAGATCTCGTCACAGAATCACAGAGTTGTAATGGTTGGAAGGGACCTCTGAGATCACTGAGTCCAACTGTGAACACAAAAAAACCCCAAACACAAACAACCACACACATCCCACCAGAAAACACCCACATAAAACCCTACCACCTCAGCCACTAGAGCATGCCCTGAAATGCCACATCTACACATTTCTTGAATACCTCCAGGGATGGTGACTCAACCACCTCCCTGGGCAGGCTGTTCCAGGGCCTGACCACACTTTCAGTATAGAAATTCTTCCTAATACCCAATCTGACTCCCCTGGTGCAACTTCAGGCCATTTCCAGGTCCTGTCATTATTTACCTAGGAGAAGAAGCCAACTCCCACCTCCCTGCAACCTCCTTTCAGGTAGTTGTAGAGGGCCATGAGGTCTCCCTTCAGTCTCCTCTCAAACATCTGCAGTTCCCTCAGCCACTCCTGGTATGACTTGTTCTCTAGACCCTTTCCCAGCTTGGTGGCTCTCCTGTTGCTGTGGGTGTGCATGGTACCAGGGTGGCAGGGTGAGAAACACATTTCCAGGAGGCCTGAGAGGAGCACCCATGCTCAGACCCTTCTGCCAGAGCAGAGTGAGGATGTTTTTGTTGAACAGCTCCTCAGCCTTCATCCAGTGTTAGCAGGATGCTGCCTGGCTCAGCTTCTGGCCCTCTCCTGAGGTGTGTGTGCAGTTCCTGGACACACCATTCCCACAGCAAGCAGGGGAACCCTGGTCTGATCAAAGTTCTGCTGACCTTCGCTCTCAGACACACACAACAGTAAGCATGTGCCAGTCCTGCTGCCTGTGGGTTTCAGTCATACATGCCTACCTGCACTTTTCTCCTCAGTTTCCTCAGGTGATCATCCACCACTACACTGGCATTTGGAAGCAGCAGGTACCTGGCATCCCATGGTTTGCATGGCAAGCTGGCAGTGGGGCCAGCCCTGTGGGACGGCTGCCCTTGAAGCTGCATCACTGGTCTCAGGGCAGAGCTGGTCCTGGCCAAGGGCCGTGCAGAAAGCATCGTCCCCACCAGCACCAGCCACCCTGATCCATCACCTGGAGGCTGCAGACATCTCGGCAGTGGGGCTGAGAGCAGCTCGGTGGTCCCCGTGTCTGTGCCCACCCTGCCAGCTGCCCGCGGACCCGTGTTCATGCTGCCTCTCTTCTCAGTGCGCAGTGGGACACGAGTACGTTGCTGACGTTGGGAAGCACTCCTCGCAGACGGACGCAGCCCAGGGCTTTGGGGGGAAGTTCGGAGTCCAGCGGGACCGGGCTGACAAGGTGCGTTGGACAAGGTGGCTGATGCGCTGACCTGTGCCTGGTGCTCAGGGCTGCCCCCAAAACTGCCCTGCCTTGAGGACCGTGGCAGCTTTCAGGGTGCTGGCAGGTGCAGGGCTAGGCATGACATGCCCCATCTTCTGCCCCTGAGTGCAGGACAGTGGCTGGTGACAAATTGCAGGGCTCTTGTGAAGATTAACAAGGGCACAGTGTTGCATTACTAGTGCTTGTAACTGCCCTGTCCAGGGAGCACTGATTGTCTTGGGGCCCGTGGGGTTTTGCATCTCCAAAGTCCCAAGCTGTGCTGTGCACAGTGCCTGGCATGGCAGGACAGGAGGGGACAGCAGGATGCATCCCTGCCTGCACAGCTGCCCTGCCTGCTGCCAGGGTGTGGGTCAGGACCATGGCCCTCTTACCTGGAATGCATGGGCTCTGGGGACAGCCTGTTCCTGGGCATGGACACAGGGGTGGTGGGAGAGGCTGAGGAGGCCTGTGCCACGAAGGGGTGGCCAGGCACCCACATGGGTCCTGGGAGCAGGGTGCCAGCTCAGCATCTGAAGGAGGGTTGGTGAGACCCAGCTTGGTCCTCAGGGTGACTGACATTCCTCCCCTTCTTGTTCCAGTCAGCACTGGGCTTTGAATACAAGGGTGAGGTGGAGAAACACTCATCTCAGAAAGGCAAGTCCATGGGCACATGTGCCGTTTTGACACTGCTCGGGTTCTGCTCTTCTCCCCACATCCTGTGCTATCTGCTGTGGCACAATCTCCTCTGTTATCCCTCTCCTGACACTGGTTTCAGATTCCTGTTCCAAGCCAGTTACCCTTGCACGCCTGGTCCCTGCTGTCCTGTCACCACCCTTCCCTTGTATGTCCTGCTTATCACTGCACTTCGCTTCGATGGAAACCATGTCATGGCTGAGCAGAGAAGACACCCCCTAAATTCTTCTGAGCTACTGCTCCTGGGGGAGCCCAAGTACTGTAGGACAGCAGAAGTGGTTTCTGGAAAAGTGGCATATAAGAAAAGGCACAACAATGGCTATGGAAATAAAAGGCTACACAGCACCCAGACTTCTGCAGAAATTTGGAGATGATTCAACCAAGCTTTGACATGTATATACAAGCAGCTACATTCGTTAAAAGCATTGACTGAAACTAAAGATATCTTAAATATTCTGCAACCAAGAGAAAATGAGAGGGCAGTGTCTTGTGCTGTTTCAGATAAATGTGGGGAACACTGCATTACCAAGGGCAGAAGAAGAGAATCATTTGTTTCAGAGGAAACTATAAAAGGAGGAAGCTCTTCTGAGGCATTCTTTGTTGATCCTAAATGAATCACATGGAGTTTGCTACATTAATGTATAAGAGATTGTATACTACTAGATTGCAGACAAAGAAGTTCATCAGGCTGTGTAAAACCACAGAAATTACTCAGGACAGAATGCAAATGTTAGAAATAGGGTAATCTGTTTGTATTTTCATAAAAATGTGTCCATACTGGAAACTCCAGCCATAAAATTGGTGTTTGCTGTAGTGTCCTAAAAGGTCCATTTCATAATGGTCTGATGGGGAAATAATAGTTTAATTGAGATAAGTTTAAGAAATTTCTAGAACTTACAGGTTCATCTTCAAGTGACTGAGCTTCTATGGATCAGAGAGCTGTTCCTGAACACAGAGTGACTTTGTTCGTATTTCTCTAGGTCACAGTCTTAATGGATTGATAAGGTTGAATTTGCTGGAGAAGCCTCAACTTCTGTGAAATGCAGACCTGTAAGAATAGGGTCAGGGAACAAAGAGGGAACTGTGACTTACTGCTTCGAAGAGCAGGATTTGGAAACAGAGCTGGCATACCAGGTCTGTGAAAGGGAAGTCTTGTACAGCCAGCAGCTAGGAGAGAGTCTGAAATTTCTGAGGACATAAACCCAGAATAACAAGCTGGTGCTTAGAGAATAACTGAACACAGCTGCAGTAGTGACTACATTACTAGTTTAGAAGAGGGAAAAGGGGGAGGTGTAAGGAAGGTGTGCTGTGCCTCTGTCACACAATGGGTGAATGTGTCAGAGGGTCTGAGGGGAGAGCTGGAGCACATTGCCAGAAATGGAGGTTTCAGCATCCAGAGCCAGTTGATTCCTCATGGTGGCTGAGATGCCATTGTAGCAGATGTAAGCCCTACAGCAGAGGTTTGCCATTTCTTCTGTACTTTCAAGGGTTCAATACATTTATTCACAGACTTTTTCAGAGCCTGGCAGACCACAGGTTGAAATCCTTGTTATGTAGAGAGATGCGTGTGGGTGGATGCCCAAGTCTTGCCTTGGCTTTCCCTCCTTGGCAGCTGAGCTCCCACTGCCTCCCCAGCTGCCCATGGCTTTTCTTCCCTGCCCTCTGGCTGTGTCTCCTGCTGCCCTCAGACTCACATGTACCATGATCCATGCTTGCCCTGTGCACCCATTCCATGGATCCTCATCCTCCATGGTCCTCATGGTGCTCCCTGCCTTGCACTCTGTCCCCTCCAAGCCCCTTGCTTTATCTAGTGTTTTCCATCATCCCTGCTGCTCTTCCTCCTCCCTAGTGCTTCTCCCCAGTGCTGCTCCCCATCTTTACCCTTTCCCCTCACCAGCCCCATTCCATGCTCCCCCCCAGATTACTCCAAGGGCTTTGGTGGCCGTTATGGTGTGGAGAGGGACAAGGTGGACAAAGCAGCAGTGGGATTCGACTACAAGAGCCAGGCAGAGAAGCACGAGTCTCAGAAGGGTGAGCTGGGGGAGCCCACCGTGGCAGGGAGTGTGGGGGATGAAGTTTGGGACTGTGTCCTCTGGGGATGTGGGACACTGGGCTTGGTTGTTGCAACCTGCTGCATGAGTGGTGGAGAAACTGTGGGGAGGAGCTGAGTGCCCACAGCTTCTTCCAGCATGGTTGCTGGAAGAAGTTCAGGCTGATGAAGAGAAGCAGCAGATTTGTAAGGGCACAGGATTCTCTTGAGCAGTATGTCACCAAAGGAAGGGTGCAGGGGAAGCCCAGGCAGGTGCTAATAGCAGGTGACATGTCCCAGGAAGGAGGGCTGTTTGTGTGGTCACCAGTGGGGAAAGCAGGTCTTGCTCCATGTCTTAGTCTCTAAGTTCTGGGTGGGGAAAGCTCTTGCCCCTGTGGGAACAACCTGAGCTCACAGTGCTGCCACCTTTCTCTTCCCCTCCCTCATCTGTTCTCCTCCATGGCATGATCTGGATCCCTGTGACTGAAGACTACTCTGTGGGCTTTGGTGGGAAGTTTGGGGTCCAGAGGGATCGCCAGGACAAGAGTGCCCTTGGCTGGGGCCATCAGGAGGAAGTGCAACCCCATGCATCCCAAACAGGTAGGGCAATGTTGCCAGAGGTGCATGATTTCCTTGGAGCACACACAGACCTGGAGCTAGTGGTTCATCCTGAACAGAAATCCAGCTGCTGAAACCTGAATGTGTGCAGCATGTTAGGGAGCAGCTGGGGCACTGTGAACCCCCAAAGCACCAGGGTAAACTCTGCCAGAGTACATACATGCTTGGATGAGTGGGAGTCATGAAATGCAAGTCCCTGAATCAGGCTTCCCAGACTACACTGTGCTTCCTCTGTGAGTTACATTCCTGGTTATAAAAGCATTCAGAAGGTGAGCACAAGGAAATGAGGCAAAGGAGGTCCCAGGAATGGCTTGATTGGTGTATGTTTAACTGCAGTGAGCAAGGCCACCTGGAACTGAAATAGCACAACTGGCTCCTCACCCCAGTGCCTGGGAAGCAGATTTGCCAGCACACAGCAGTGAACATGGGCACTTGCTGAGAGGAATGAAGGATTAGTCCTAAAAGCTGCTGTCCAGATCGTTTTACACGTATTATCCTAGTTCCATGTGTGGTAAGGTTTAGATAAAGCTAACTCATTTCACTGGTCACAGTATACTGAAGTGGGAAGTGCACACAGAATAGCAAATATTCTAAAATACCCTCATATTTTCCATACAGATTATGCCAGGGGGTTTGGAGGCCGTTACGGGGTCCAGAAGGACAGAGTGGATAAGGTAAGACTTCATCCTGAAGCCTGGAATTGCTTCCTGCCAATCACTGCCCTTGGCACTGCTGCAAGGGAAGAGATGTCCCAGCTGGAGATGAAGTCCCAGTGCTCAGTGCACAGCTACTGCAAGGCTGGGGTACACCAGAGGGTGCAGAGGAATTGCAGCCTGGGGAGACTATAATGCCAGGAAGAAAATGTGGTGTTTTTTTTCATTCGCAGCTCATTCCACTCTCAGACTGAGCCTGCTTTCTCTTGGGGCAGGATTTAATAGCAGAGCCAGCAAAGAACTTTCTGAGGGCATCATGCTGTGCCCTCCTGGACATCTAGAACCAGTGGAGACACTGGGAGTGCTCTGCCTGGCTGCTGGCCATCACCCCTGCAGCCCCTGTGTGTACCAGCTCAGTCAGAGTGGGCTGTGATAGCTCTTGGAGATGAACTGTTGTGGGAGTGCAGCCTTGTGAGAAGTCACAGGCTCTTGCCCTGTGCAGGAACTGTCTCTTACACAGGAGAGGTGCTGGTCAGACTGAAAGCCCATCAGGTGTGAAGTCCCCAGCACTGACTGGTGGGAGATGATTGTGAGGAGAGCAGCATTCATACAGAGAGGTCCTTACCTCAGACTGCCTCCAGTGAGAGGCTGGCATTGCCGTGTCTGCTCTTCTTACCCAAGGCATGAGGTCTGTGGTCAGCTGGCACACTCACATAAACAAGGCTTCCCAGAAGCTGGCTTGAATCTTTGGTCTCTCAAATAGCCAACCTGTAGACCTCCCCAGTCTCTCCAGTATCTGATGCAGGTCTGTGGCCTCTCAGGGATCTGGGTCCTTCTCCTCATACACTACTCACCAGCTACTATGGCTTTGTATATGAGTGACGGGCCCCATAGCACCCTCTTAACTGCTGGTGGAACCTGGCCATTCCTGGTGGCACTATCTGTAACTCATCAGCCTCTCTGCAAGTTTTTCTGTCCTGTCCAGGAGTTTTATATGGTCTATCCAGTTAGCGAAATCTGAGGCCAGGCCCAAGTCAGCTGCCTGCAAACCTTCACAAAACCCAGCAGGGGTGGGAGTGGCAGGCATCAACCTTGCATGAGAAGAGGTCATCCAGTTTGCTGGTTCAGATTTTCTGCCTGGGCTGACATCAGGCAAAGGCTCATTGACAGTCCAAGTGCAGACTGTCTTGGGCACTGCAGTCAACAACTGTGCTGGGCAGGCTGCCCTACAGTCGTGTTCAGGGAAGGGGGTCTTGCCAGTGGACGATGATGTGCATGGTTGGAGATAACCTAAAAGATGACAGTCCTGCATGGTTGGGGGGCCTTGGGGCATTTGGAGGAGGAAGTGAGGGCACCTCCCCTGAACCAGACCTTTTCTGTCGTTGGGCGCAGCACCAGTGGCACGGGGCTGTGTCTGGTTCAGTATCAACAGCACCATGCTCAGGTGCTGGGGGAAGCAGGTGGGAACCTTTCTGCAGGGCCCTGAGCCAAGGAAGGCCATAAACACATACCTGTAACAACCAAGTATGTTCCTTTCCATGCTGCATGTGTGGGTTGGGCCAGGGGTAGACTGGGAATGGCATCCAGCCCATGGAAGAGTTTAATATGGCCTGGGAATATAGCAACAGCAAATGGAGGTGCATGGTCGAAGGTCAGGGCAGCACGTATGTGGAGACAAAAACGCGCAAAATCAGGTGAGCACATGTGTAAGTCAGGGCTGTGGGTTATTTGAGAAGCAGGATGCAGAGTGGGGATAAGTAGTTCTGATCTGCTTAAAGTGGAACATGAATTTGTGCATTTTGAGAATATTGAAGCATAATCAAAGACGGTAAAAGTAAGGATACTTGGGCAGGTACTTAAGGTCTTGGTTGCTTGGTTTTCAGGCACTGGAATAGTGCTGAATTCATAGCTCCAGAGTAAAGCATAATGTACCTCCAGGCAATCTTAACTCCCCTGTGACAAAGTTCCGAGCACCAAGTGTAGGATTCAGTTCTCACTCTAAGACTCCTAAATTTAAATGCTGTCCTACAGCCATGTCCAAGCCTGTGCTGTGCTCTGTGTGGAGCTGGCTGTGAGCCTGCCGTGCTGCTTGCCTGCTCAGGTGGGTTGTCTTCCAGGCGAGCAGAGCTGCCCTCTGGGCTCAGCCACCCAGCGCGGTGGTGACACCTGCAGGTAGGACCGCATATGTGGCTGCATTAGTCCTTTCTGTGTGAAATAGTTTCTCTCGTGAGCGTAGATAAATCCCCTCTATTTCACTTTATTTTTGCTGCCAACACCCCAGCGGTGCTGTCACCAGTGCAGCCATCTCCCCACACCTCACAGAGCCAGCACCATCTTGTTCACACACAGTTCTGCTCTGATGTTTCCAGCCCATGCTGCAGGCAGCGACCTGCAAGGGACAAAGGTTTTTGAGGGTTAGGCAGCTCCAGCCTGCCATCCCATAGGGAAGAGCTTCCATGCCTCATACCACTGGGAGTGCAGGGGACTGATGGACTGGTTCCCTGGACCTCAGGAAGAATCAGACCTCAGGCATCTGCTCAGGTCCCTGCTGTGTCACCACTGAGCAGTTCTGCCTCAAGTGCCCAGCCCTGCTGTTCCATGCAGCAATCTCCTTGTCACTGTGCAGACTCCTCCCTTGGCTCCCTGTGACCCTTCAGCCCTCGGAGGGCCACCCCTCCACAGGAGAGCCCCTGGCCTTGGCTGGAGAGCAGCAGGCATTGCCACAGTGCTGGGAGGCATCAGGAGAGCAGGGCTGCAGCCTGCACTGGGACAACAATGGCCGTTGTACAGATGAGGACAGACTCATCTGGAGCGAAGCTTGCAGTCACCAGTAGGCAAAGCCAGTGGGGGATCTCAGCACTGACCTTGCCTGGCAAGCTGGACACTTCTTCCCTTCCTCTTGCAGAGTGCTGCTGGCTTTAGTGAGATGGCAGCTCCCACCTCCTCGTATGAGAAAACAAGACCACTGGAGGCAGGTGAGACAACTGAGTACCAGCCCTGGGCTTGGTGGACAGCTGTGGGCCTCATGGTCCCTCTGTGGCAGCACACTGGCCGGTGTGTCCTGTGGTGGGGTGTGGATTTAACCTGTGCTGAGGGGCAGGAGAAGGTGGCTGAGCTGCAAGATTCTCTGCGAGAGGGAGAGTTCTGGGTTTCTCCTAGGTGCCTGGGATGGTGGAAGGGAGCCACTGGGCTGGCTTGACCAGCTGCCTTCTCCACAGGGGCTTCTAGTGGCACCAGCAGCCTGCGGTCACGGTTTGAACAGATGGCCAAGTCAGCAGAGGAGGAAAGCAGGAGGCAGGAGGAGGAGCAGCGGGAGAGGCAGCAGGCTGGGGAGCCCCAGGCAGCCCGGCGCAAGGTGAGCCACAGCCACCCTGCCATCTCCCACCAGCTTGTAAGCAGGCCTGTCCTCAGGGCCATGCAGCTCCATGTCCTTCTGCCTGATCTCTTCACTGTAACCTCTTGGCTAAACTGCTTCACAGAATCACAGAATCAGTTAGGCTGGAAAAGACCTTCAAGATCATCGAGTCCAACCATTAGCCCTACTCTCCCAAGTCCAGCACTGAGCCATGTCCCCAGGCACCACATCTGGACAACTTTTAAACACAGCCAGGGATGGTGACTCAACCACCTCCCTGGGCAGCACGTTCTAATGCCTGACAGCCCTTTCAGTGAAAAGCTCTTCCTAATGTCTAGTCCAAACCTCTCCTGGTGCAGCTTGAGGCCTCTTGTTTTATCACCAGTTACTGGTGAGAAGAGACCAGCACCCACCTCTTTACAATGTCCTTGCAGGTAGTTGTAGAGGGTGATGAGGTCTCCCCTCAGCCTCCTTTTCTTCAGGCTAAACAGCCCCAGTTCATTTAGCTGCTCCTCATAAGACTTGTTCTCAGGGCTGTTCACTAGCTTGGTTGCCCTGCTTTGGACACACTCCAGCACCTCGATGTCCTTGTGTTGAGGGGCCCAAAACTGGACACAGTATTTGAGGTGTGGCCTCACCAGTGCTGAGTACAGAGGGACCATCACGTCCCTGGTCCTGCTGGTCACACTATTCCTGATGCAGGCCAGGATGCCATTGGCCTTCTTGGCCACCTGGGCACCCTGTTGGGTCATGTTCAGCTGCCTGCCTACCAGCACCCCCAGGTCCCTTTCTGCTGGGCAGCTCTCCAGCCACTCTGCCCCAAGCCTGCCAGGGACTGCCAGCGAACTTCCCAGCTGTCACAGGATTTTCCCTTTCAGCACACGGGTCGGGAACTGCCTTCCCCAGCCAGGAGTCCCTGTGCTTTGGCTGAGGCTCCTCCTTGCCTCTAGTGCCTGTCAAATGGTGTGATCACAGCTCCCCAGTGCCACCATCCCAGCAGGCTGCACTCAGGGTTTTCCAATCTGGAGGTGGCACCCAAGCCCTCTGTCTACCAGACTTCCTGCTGCAGGTTCTATATCTGCATTCAGTGTGCAGTCAAGGTTTCATCAACAAAGTGCTTCCTGATACATTCCCTCATGAGGCCACTCTCTGCAGACCCTGTAGTCGTTACATGCCTGCTAGTGTCCAGTCCCTAGGACAGGTTGGAATAGATCTCAGCTGAAGAAAAATGTTCTGAGTTGCTCTGTTGACAACATGTTATCCATGGGACAACAATGTGCCCTGGTGGCCAAGAAGGCCAGTGGTGTCTTGGGGGTGTATTAAGAGGAGTGTCTCCAGCAGATGGAGGGAGGTTCTCCTCCCCCTCTACTCGGCCCTGGTGAGACCTCACTTGGAGCATTCTGTCCAGTTCTGGGATCCCCAGTTCAAGAGGGACAGGAATCTACCGGAGAGAGTCCAACGGAGGCTACAGGAATGATGAAGGGACTGAACACCTGCCTGATGAGGAAAGACTGAGAGACCTGGGGCTTTTCAGTCTAGAGAGGAGAAGACTGAGGGGGGATTTAATTAATGTCTATAAATACATGAGGGCTGGGCATCAAGAAGGCAGGACAACCTCTCATCACTTGTGCCCTGTGATAGGACAAGGGGCAATGGATTCAAACTCGAGCACAGGAAGTTCCACCTCAACATGAGGAAGAATTTCTTTCCTGTGAGGCTGAGAGAGCCCTGGGACAGGCTGCCCAGAGAGGTGGTGGAGTCTCCTTCGCTGGAGACTTTCAAGACCTGTCTGGATGCCTTTTTTAGTGACCTGTCCTAGGTTTTTTTTGGTCCTGCTCTGGCAGGCGGGTTGGACTCGATGATCTTCGAAGGTCCCTTCCAACCCCTAATATTCTGTGAATCTGTGATTCTGTGTTGGGAATGGGAAGGGACATTGCTCTGGGCCTCATTCAAGGCGACTCAGGGGACCCGATGATTTGTCTCCAGCAGGAAATCCCACAGAGGGAGAAGGACCCCAGAGAGGCCGCCCCTGCCGCCGTGCCAGCAAGGGTGCCGGGGAGCACGGGGAGAGAAGGGCCAGTGTCACCAGGAGATGAGGTGCTGAGGCTGCCTGGGGACAGCCAGGAAGGGGAGCAGGCAGGGGGAACTGTGCCTGGGAGGGGCTCTGCTCTGCAGCAGCCCTGCAGGAAGATGTGGGGTGCAGCCACAGCGTGGGTGAGGCTGTGGAAGGAGTGAGGGGGGGAAGGCTGGAGTGGGGGTGGGCCATGGTTGCCCACCATGAGCCAGGCTGTGTGGGTCAGTCCATGGGCTGCAGCCGAGCACGGGAGAGAGGCTCAAATACATGAGCCATGAGGGTCTTCACAGCAACCCCACGTGCCAGTTGGACACAGATCTAAAGGCTGAGCTGGTTCCCCCTGGTGCAGAGGAAGTTGTTTGTGTGTTGGTAACACTAAAGGCACCTGCAGTGGAGTGGGCTCCCTTCTGCTGGGTGCTGTGCAGCCATGGGGGAGCTGCCTGGCAGCATGGGAGAGATGCCTCGCAGGTGACTTTCCTGTAATTTTCTCACCTTGTGGCAGGAGGCAAGAAGGGACAATGAGGAAACACCACCCACTTTGCCACCAAGGCCAGCAGATCTGGGTGAAGAGCTGTGCAAGATCCCCAGCCAGGATCAGCCCATCTACAGTGAAAGTCTGGATGTTGGTGGAGACTATGAGGAGCTGCCAGAGCCTTCTGACTATTGTGACAGTGTCACTGGAGGTGCTGAGTATGAGGAGCTGCCAGCATGCTTGGGACAGCCAGATGCCATCTATGACTTTGGAGGAGATGGAGGTGAAGACTATGAGAACATGCTTCCTGAGGAGCCCAGCCAGAGCCAGTGCTACCAGGGTGAGTATTGATGGATGTGTCCTGGAGAGCTTGTATCTGTCTGCTCACGTGACTGGATGCATGGGGCAGACTGTGAAGGGAATTTGTATCCTGAAGTCTGCTGTGGTCAGGGTAGCAGCCCATAATGATGGAGATTTGGTTGTCTCCCACTCCTTTGCCGTTCTCCAAGGTGCGAGATCAGCTGTATGGGATGCTGGACAGCAAGAATCTCTGCTAGAGCAGGACTCAGGCAGGAGGACCAGTGGGCTGCTGTGGACTCTGAAGAAGCTGGACCTGGGTTGATGTTCTCTGTGCACTGTTTCTTGGCAAGGAACTGCCAGTGCTCTGCTGAGGCCTGAGGGGTACACTCTGCATTCAGAGTCACTCAAACAGCTGATGCTCAGGACATCTGATCTGGTGGTGTCTCCTGGGTGTGAGGAGGGCAGGGTAGTCTTCCCCCAAGCACATGAGAAAATTGCATGGGCTGCTGTTGGTGTTTCTGTCATGGGTTTGCTGATGCAGGAGGTGGTAAGTGGAGAGGCTGGAGTTATGTCCAGCCTTTTTCTTGGGAGAGGAACATGAAGTGTCAGGACCTGGCCTCTCTCCTTGCAGACACCTTTTTACACCTCTCCATGTTGGCAGGGTTGGGATGTCATTCTCCATGTGTCATTCACAACTAGATGGAGGGCAGCATTGGCCAGATCCATGTAGCTGCTTGAAGCCTTTCTCATCTGCCCATCTTGTCTTCTGCAGGGGAAACAGACAATGTTTATGCGGTGGAGAACAACGGGACCTGTGCAGTGGCTCTCTATGATTACCAAGGAGGTGGGTCTGCCATCCAGGCTGTGGGTAGAGGTACTGGGAACTGGTCAGGGCAGTGCAACAGGGAAGTGGGACACCATCATTTTGACTTGGTGGTATAAATTTCTTCCTCTTGGAAAGCAGAATGAGACCTGAGTTGTGAACACAGAAGCTTCATCTTTCATCTGTGAAGTCTTGCTCCATCTCTGCTTTATTTGTGCTGTTTGATGGGGAGTGGATGAGATGAATGCTGAGGGTTATCAGAATGGTTGTCCTATATTATTTTCCTGGGGAGGGGTAAAGGGAGGGATGTAAAACCAGCTCTTATATTTGTATTGTGACAATCTTTTCTGAACAATTTTTGCAGAAGGAGATGATGAGATTTCTTTTGATCCTGATGATACAATCACACACATCGAGATGGTTGATGAAGGCTGGTGGCGGGGGCAGTGCCGGGGCAAAGTGGGCCTCTTTCCAGCAAATTATGTCAGGCTTCTGCAGTGAAACCAGCATTGTCCAAGTTGCTTCCTTCCAAACTTTTGCCTCTCTCTGCTTCAGCCTTTTACGTGTTATTAGCTTCATCTGGCTTGGCCTGGCATGTCTACATGCAAGAAATACCAAAGAGCAAACCTGCAGCATGCTTTGCAGTCAGTGCTGAAGGTAGGTTTCCCCATACGGGGTTTGGTTCAGCCTGTTCTCTCTGCTGTTGGGTGGTTTGAGTCCCTGTGCTGGAGTCAGGCCTCCCCAGAGCAGCAGTGAAATAGTTAATGCCTTACAGACCTTTGCAGGACTGCCTAGTTAAGAAATATTTGCAGGTCTCGCCTGTTTAGTTAACAAATGAGTGTATTATTTGTTAACCAGTGTGTTGGCTAAAGCCTCCTCATCTGACTAGTGCCATTGTTACTTGCAATGTCCTGCTTATCTGACACCATTTGGTGAAAAGTGAGTTGCAAACTGAAATAAACTCTGTAACTGCCCCTGTCAGCAGTGTCTGTCCATCCCAACTCTGGTAATAAAGTGCTCCTGTTCTGACCTGACACATCCTGGTTATTCCATGGCAGCACGTGTCCCCTGTATCTTCTGGAGGCTTTGTTCCTTGCACAGTGGAAGGTGCCTGAATCTAGCCTCCTTCAGCACAGATGTGGGGAAAAAGCTGAGCAGGTGGGAAGCAGGACAAGAGGAAATTATTAATGTTTAATCATAGAATCACAGGATGTTGGAGGTTAGAACAGGAATAAAGGAGGGACAGGCTGAGTAGCACAGCATGAGGGAGGCTGCAGGAGCTGTGGGCAGCTGAGCTGCAGAGGGTCCCACTGTGACACCTTCAGACTTTGTGTGGCTGATGGAGTAGTTCTGGACCATCCTACTCTTGGACCTCCAGGTAGTGCAGGATCCCTGCTCAGTGCTTGATACTGAGAAAAATCAGTCTGTGTCTGTCAGTCATGGGAAAGATACATTGTGATTCAGGTTAGAAATTGTTGATTTTTCATGCGAATTTTCTGGATGTTTTGGGTTGGTTGGTTTTGTTTTTTCCTGATTTTGTTTGGTTTGTTTTGCTTTGTTTGGGTTTTTCTCTGAAATAACTTTCCCAATATTTTTCCTTGTGCAGTTCACCCTTTATTTCCTGAAACTCCTTTCCAGGGGGTCTTCAGAATGGGCCTCACTGTGGCAGACCCTCTGTTTTGTACAAGGGAGACTCTGAACTAGGGGTGTTTTAATTATTTTTTGCAATCAAGAAGGGTGTATAGCAAGTAGAGCTGGCTGAGAGGCTTGCATCCTGTTTGGGCAGGAGCAACAGGCTAGGCCAGTACATGGGCTACAGAAACATTTTTTTCCCTGCAGAATAAAATCAGGGTGTGTTGTGCATTAAGAAGAGCTGGCCAACAGCTCCCAACAAGCTGTATACCTCATAGGCCCATTTTATTATTCTCCAGTAGGTTTCTTTGGAAACAAACTGTATTTTGCTGGGTATCTCTTGGTAGTTGAGCTATGGATGAGTGTGTGGTTGGCCCTTCCACATAATCTGTCCCTGTGTGATAACGCTGCAGTGGCTGCAGACGTGCACCTGCAGTGGCAGCTTCCTTCCCTGCACTGCCTGGCAGCTCCTGCCTTCTGCCACCACGTTGGACACTGCTGGCTCTCGTGTACCTGCCTGCAGGTCTGGCCAGAGGTGGGATTGCGCCAACACCCCTGCAGTTGTTTGAGCTTGGACCCACTTGCAGAGCCCCTGCACGCAGGTGAAGCTGCGGCAGCAGGAGCTGGACAGAGGTGGCTGCCAGCGC